TCGTAATTTAAACCTGCTCTTATGATGTGCTGTTTGATTCAGTAATTTTAATTCAAGGTCCATGTAGAAAAATGTTTTTAGAGGAACATTTTTTTTCCCTTTTACATTTACTCATACGTTTTAGTGATCTGAGAAAAATAAACTTGTGTTTAAAAAAAGTMTTTTTTTTCTTCGTTTATGACATTTAAGGGAACACAACAGTGTGCACTTTTTACGCACGAAATAAAGTTTCAAATTCAGCCAAATGAAATAAAATTTCTTTAGATCGTGTTTTTTTTTTATTATTTTTTTGCACAACTTCCCACGCAGGTAGCGCACACAAGAAATGCGCACACCCATCGCCACGCGCAGCTGTGTCGCACACACCACACGCACATGCAGACTGGATCACTCACTCCCCCACTTACACCCACACCCCTCACGCCCCATTCCACACACAAACACACACGTACACGTGTGCGTGTGATTTGCCTCTGCCTACCTCTTTTATCCTGCACCCTGACGGTGATCTCCAGCAGAGGCTCGGTCTCCCGGTCCAGTCTCCGCAGGATGACTAAATCCCCGGTCTCGCGGCTCACGCTCACAGGGGAGCTCTCCGTGTCGGGCTCCACCAGCTCAAACGTGGCCGGCTGAAACCTGACCGGGTTCAGGTTCATCACCACCGAACCGATCCCTGCGTCCTCGGACACGCTGATGAAAACGGGACTGTCTGACTCCGGGACGGACCTGGACTTTCGCGCTCCCGCGTCACTCTGCGGGTTTAGATTCTCCTTTTCAGGTTGGGGTGTTATTGAGGGCGCCACGGGCCACTGTCGGGGATTTATTTCCACAGCGATGCCTTGGCTTGTGCGCGGAGGCCACCCGCGATCACGTGCAAAAACTTTAAACTTAATCGGTTCATCCAGACCAAGGATGGAGTCCACAAGAAGGATGTCCCCGGATTTGGGCACCGCGTAGAAACTCCCGTTTCTGGGCTCGGTGAAGTAGATGAGCTCGGCGTTCTTCCCGCTGTCATCGTCCCGCGCGCTGAACGAGCAGACCGCTGTCCGGAGCGCAGTGGCATCATCCAGGCTCAGCTTCACGTCTGCACTGGGGAAAATGGGCTGGTGGTCGTTAGTGTCCAGAACGTCCACCTTGATGGACGCGATCTCGGCGACAAGTTGCTCTGCGTCTCTGGAGGAGAGCTCGGCGCACTGGCCGCAGCACGAACCCAGACCCAGTGCGTATTCAGCCCGCTCCTCCCGGTCCAAAATCCGAGAAGTTTTCAGTAAAACGTGCCCGCGTTTGTGGTGCGCAAAGACGCGGAAATCCTCGCTGCCTTCACCCAGGAGTTTGAAGTGAGTCGCCACTGAGCCGGTCCCCCCTGTGCCGCACGGTTGATTCGAGTTTAGCCGCTTCAATGGCACACTGAGTCCGTTGACCCGCGAGCCAGGAGGCGAGTTCTCAAATACATGCCCATRGAAGAACGGCACAAGGTCCAATGTCCTGTTCCCGGCTACGCACAATATCAAAATTGGTAAAAGCGTTACCCAAATCATGACTGTATTTCTTTGGCTCCGCTGCACTAAAGCACTGGTATCTCTCCAAAAGCCATGTGAGCGCCCGGGTCCTCCTTGGTGGTTAAGTCTCCTCTTAAGAGCTATGATCCAAAACTTTGATCAAGCTAAAACACAATTTTTCCTTGGCACCATACTCTAACTCAAGAGAAGCTGTCTCTGTGCGTTTGAGCTGTGCGTCCTTCTCTCCTGCTTCCCCCTGTCTGCTGTCTCACCAGCAGCGCTGTCTGTCTGTGCGCGTTCCAGGATTAAAAAAAAAAGTCTTCTCAGCTCGAGCGCGCGCTTACCTCGGCTTGCTTCCTCTGCTCTCTCTTGCGTGCGTCGTTTCCAACCCATTTCATCCCAACATAATCCGTGAGCTGTTTACAAATATTGCACATCTTCTAAAAAAAWTAATAAATAAATAAAGAAGAAGAAAAATATAGAAAATAAATAAAATAAGAATAATAAAATCAGTCACCCGGGAACTCTTAGARCATGGACAAAGAGCGTGATTCAGATGAACACATTGGTGAAGGATCCTCTGGGGAAAATAAACTTTTCAGCAAACCAAGTGCAAGCAGCTCGTGCTCGCGCGCACTTAAAAGAGARAGAAACGCACACACACAATAAACGCGCAAAAGTGTGCGCACCCGATCTCTCCTCTTCCAGTGATCAATGCTTAGTGTTGCGCATTCAGATCCATCACTTCTCTTTTCAATAACAAGCCCGCCTTTTGGATTAAAATAATGTAAAAAATCAATCATCTAGATACGCCTCCAGAGGGCAAAGAGAGGAGAAGAGCTCGCAGTTTCAGGGAAAAAAAAAAAACCCCAAAAAAAACCGCTTCAATAACTTCAGAGCTGTCTGTCCAAAAGCAGTATCCTCTTAGAAATGTCYATCACCTGCTGTGTGTTCCCTGGGAACATTTTGGTCTTCAGGGGTGTGTGACATGCTTCAGGGAAGCTCCCAGCAAAATGAGAACAGTCTAGACTTTAATACAATAGATATAAGCTTTTATTGTCTTGTATATCAGGCTTAGCTCTAATATTGATTCTTTGTCACAGGTACTCTGACTTCAATACCAAACTAACTCAATCTGCCTGCTAATAAATCTAAGACTATTTGTGGATATACACACAGCAAACTGCATGGTCACCATCTCATCTGTACCAGTCTGTTCCTTTCTGTGCTGTTTAAACTCCTACTTAACGCAAACTGTGCAATTTAAAAAAAAAAAAAAAAAACGTTTAACATCAACAATTATCTAAACAAGTCCAAGCATCTGGTTTAGCAAATTATTCCATGTCACGGTAAAGTTGTTTACTTTGTAGCCTTTAAGAAGTGGTATATGACTTGTAAAAAAATAAATGAATAATAAAAGCAGAACAGTGAACTTTATGTAGGACTCTAAAATTGTAGTTCAACATTATGAATAAATCATGATTTGGTGCATAACTCAGTTGAGGACTGATTAAGGTTTGGTATAATAGGAGAAAGAAACAAATGTCAACTGCTGTTTTTGTGCTTGTTTCAGACAAGTGGAAACAATAACAAAGCATGGATTGCAAGGCTCAAAATAGTGGGTCATGAACAGGTTTTTAATTTAGTAACTTCATTTACAATTGAAAAAAGAAAAAGTGTTTTTTTTTTCTTATATGCTGAATTTGAATTAGAAGAGTGTCTTATGGGCCATGTGTCAAACTGTGAAACTGAACTTTAAAAATAAAATACAGAAAGGACTGTTTGTTTCAAATTGTTTGGTCAAAATTTCATGCAAAATAAAAGCCAACATTTAAGGTTGTTTTTTTATTTATTTATTTTTGGTGAGGTCTTTATTGCCACCATCATCAGAAACATCCATATTTTTTCACACTGTTGATTTTAATCACAAAGGCCAGTCTTCAGCTTTTGTGCTTCATCTGAATTTTCCATATGTGTTGTTTGCTGTAAAGTGGTAGATATCTTCTTTTACACATTTTTATAAAAACAAACAAACAAATAAATAAACAAAAAAAAACTTACTCAAGGATAAAATCCATAATTGGTTATCTAATAGTGTCCTGGACTGACTGTATGTCAATAATTTAGCAGTGTGACATGAATGCATGTACTGTTTCATCTTTAGTAGAAATAACAAACATCTAAAAGAAAATAAACAAACAAATATGGGGCGGCTGTGGCGGAGTGGTCAGGGGAGTCATCCTGGAACCGGAAGGTCACTGGTTCAATCCCCTGTCCAGCCGTCTCAGTCGTTGTGTCCTTGGGCAAGACACTTCACCCACCTTGCCTACTGATGGTGGTCAGAGGGTCCGGTGGCGCCGGTGCAAAGGACCCTTTGCATGGCAGCCTCACTTCTGTCAGTGTGCCCCAGGGCAACTACACTGTGGCTACAGTGTAGTYGCCATCATCAGTGTGTGAATGTGAAGGGGTGAATGTCTGTTAGTGTAAAGCGCTTTGGGGTCCGGAGGGACTTGAAAAGCGCTCTATAAGTTCAGTACCATTTAYCAAATAAACAAACAAAAAATTACATTATCTTTATATTTAACTTGAAATGTTTTACTGGTTCTTTTTCAAAGAAAACAGTCAAACACTGACATTGGATGAGTACGACGGCTTTTATGATGTCATCCTAAGTTTGAAGATTGCTTAAAACTGGAAGACTACTGGATCTGTGAAGACAAAGACAAAAGACAGAAAATCCAACTTTAACTTGAACATATGTTTTACACGATGAACCTAAGGAATTAATCAATGAATCTTTTTTTTGTTATTACCCATCTATCTACAGTATCTATCTGAAGATTATCATTATGAAGCTTCTTTCCATGCTAACCAGCTCAGTCAGAGAGAGACGGCTGCAGACAGAGAAAGGTTTGGTCAGCTGTTAAAGTCAGACAATAAATTAATATTCCCCACTGTGGCAGTAACAGTGACAGTGACCCTGTGAGCAGCAGACTGAATCAACTATCTTATTTTTTTTTTCATTTCTTTGTGTCTTTTTGTACATCGTGGCTGAATTTGAAATAAAAGTTTCAGCGTATAAAGCAGCTGCCGTCACTGTTTGCTTTTGCCTATCAAAGTACCAAGCCTGTCAGCATTCCAGGCAGCTTTTCAGTTGATCGCATCACTGAAGAAAAAAAAAAGTCACATAATGTAGTGAGAAACCCAGTGGAACTGTAAACAGACAATAAAATTGTCAAACAAACAACACATCTTGCCTAGTAAAACTGCACATTTACAAACTATCATTGTGGAAACATTAGGCAAAATAGTGACATTATCATTTGTTTAATCCAGGTAGTATAGAAAAGCTTTGGCATGCTTTGTTAAAATATCAGGTATACAAAAATGCGAGCTTTTTTGCAAAATGTTAGGACCCTTTCACACTGGATGATGACCTCAATATGCTGCTCACAACATAAACAACTTATCAGAACATGGCAGGATGAACTTGCAAAACCTCCTTTATTGTGAAGGCAACCATAACCCTGCCAAATAGATTTTTCCCTGCTGTTTTTCAAGTGCTTTCCTGCATCCTCACCATACTCTCTATCTGCCTGCCCTGCCATGACTCTGCTGTACCAAGTCAGGATGGTGCTACACACACTAGAATATCATGCTACAGTTGCACAATGAAACAGTCGTGGCGTTGTTGTTTACCCTGTGTTTTTTCCACAACCTTGTCACAATTACAGCTATATCCTACAGGTACAAGACCACTGGTTCATCAGAAGTTTGATCAGTTGCCATGGTTCATTTGCAAATAAGTTGGAACTTCACAGGTGTAAAATATGTTCATTTAAATGATAATAGTCTGTGGTTTAGAAATGTTGTAGAATTTGCTCATAGTTAAGATTAGTATTAGGAAACCAGTTTAACAATAAATTTAATATTTATGAAGCAAAGTTTGACCATTAATGTTTCACTGTAATAATAATCAAACTGCAACAATAATGGGTTAGATGAGGCTTAATCTTTGCTGTTGACAGTGCAACTATTAAGCTCTCTGTAACTGTTCTATGTTAATGCCTGTTTTCTGAATGTTTGACTTTGAGGTTGGAAATGTTTAATAAAAAACGTTCTGAGTAAGAAAAAGTAAAGAAAAATGTTGATTTCCCTTACAAGAAACCCACAAAATCCTTTGAAAATCCTATTCTGAAGGTCAAAGAACTTTAGAGGCCAAGTCAGCCTCAACTTCCACCAATAATATGGTAACTAGTCAATGCGATAAATATTATGCGAGAAAGTGAAGTGTCGAAAACAAAAATAAACATTCAAATGAAAGCCAGGGTTTCCACTTTCACACAAAGTGAAGCATAAAAGTAATTTATCCTGTAGTGTGTTTATATGTCACATATATATTTCTTGATATATATTTTTTTGTCGTGTAAAGTACTATTGCAATAGCATGACATTTAAGGCTCTTCTGATGCACATATAAATGTACTTTGATATAATTAGTGTTTAGAAACAATCTATCCTCTCATTTAAAGATAAAACTGGCACACTAATATTGTCATATTTAGATCCCTTGGCTGCCCTTGTCATGAAGTTTGGCCGTCTATGACAGTGAGCAGCAAAGTGAGAACAGTTGGCACTGAACCTGTCATATTTTATTCATTATCATGACAAGTGACAGACTACACCGAGGACAACTCAAATCCATGTAGACCCACTAAATCTCAATAAAGTGGAACGTCAATCTGGCTGTGGCTCCACCAAGCAGTCTGGAGTTTGTCCCCGTTGAACGAGAACAAGCTGTTAGATCGACACAACACCGACTCCCCTAATTTGTATTGATTATTCTTCCTGCCCAACCTGCCCAACCTTAATTCTCTGCCTATATGTCTTTGTCTTCCTCTTTCATTGTCTGCTGCATTTGTCATAAAAACAAACAAATAAATAAACAAACAAACAAACAAACAAATAATGAAAAAAAAATAGCTTTGAACAACAGGAATAACAAAAAAAGAAAATAAAGAAAATGAACATGATCTAAAAGACCATTGATAATGCCCACAATGAGGCAAACAGATATAACCTTCCTGGGGTTTATAGACTGTGCTTGGCAGAGAAAAAGGAGGAAGGTGTGAGTTCATTATCTAAATACAATTTCTCTSTCTCCCACCTGCAACAGGCTCACTATCAGGGGAAATATCTTGATAGGATGATAAAGAAAACAGAGACGGGGAATATGCTCAATAGTACTTTGGAAAGCCTCCAATTGGACTTTGCTGAAA